AATCAACTCATTTAGTATGGATGCTCGCAACAATAAAATAAACGATAGGCCATTTGAAGGCATTCAATACCGACAAAACGATACCATATCATCGGCGAGGGTAGGCCTAATCATAAATTTTGGGACCTTTTTCGTCGCCTGTGTCATCTTTTAACTTTATGCGTCTTGTGGTTCACGGCACCTTTAGAACGACCCAATTGACGTATACCGTAACGATCGGTCATATCCGTCCACGCTCGATCTCAAGCAGCAATGGCTCGGTCAACATTAACTGACCCTCTTTCGATTTATCTTTTTTCGTTGCTAACCAAATTTCACATAGCCTTCTTGATAAGCTATTGCCAAGAGTATTATGCCATTACCATTAGTAAAAGCTGTACTGTCGTACAGCCAGTAACCGAACCCATTGTAGCTATTATTGTTATTTTGGAATACAAAAATTTTCGGCTGATATTGCGTAATAGGGTTGCTAAAAATTTAAAAACTTGGTCTGCCATCCTGGCGGTGTTTATTTCCCTACCGTATTTTGGAAAAAACGAACATTTTGGACTGGATTAAGACCGTCTTCTTTCTTTTTAATTTCTTTCAATTACAATCTTCTTTAATAGACCAGAAGTCGTAATATTTTTTTGTCGTTTTTAACATATTGATGCACCTTCGCTCGAGAAACTAAAACGCCTGATAGGAATTTTCTTCTCTCTTTGAAAGAGAGATAAAACTTTCCCGCTTTTACTTAATCAAATATTCTTTAACTCTCCTAACTGTTTTTCACTGCACTACATTCCAATTACAATTTACTAAATGCTGCACAAGCTTCTTCAGCCTTTCCGTGTTGAATGTTCTTACACCGACATTCTTTTTCCTATGCGGTAGTTTCCTGCACATTTCTTTATTTATTTATATGGGGAAAGCAACGGCGCTCGCACGCACGCATGATCCAGAAGCAAAGAATAAATAACAGAAAGATAAAGGAAGAAACGTTGTCTTGACCTACTTCTCTACTGGGCGACCATAAAAGACATTTGCAAAGAAAATTTTCTCAGTGTAGCTTCATGAAGACGACCGTTGAGTAGACATGGCCCTCAAAGCAATTTAAAAACTTTGAATGTTTCTGCCAAGAGCTTAATTTTCGCTAAAGTGTATGCAAAACTTGTATAAAGAAAAATATGTTTTCAAAAGATAGGAATCTTTTGAAAATTTTTGTTTATACCCTACGCTACTTGTGGTATATGACGTATTCACTATGCTGGTGCGTAAACAGTACTCACAAGAACTTGAAGTAAGTCTACCTATTATTATTGTACCCATCGATTCAGAAGCAATTTCTGTCTGACGTCTATCCATGTACTCTCGTCTTCAATCAACAAGTCGTAATTTTTGAGATATTTCGATGAATTGGTACACCGAACGCCTTATTTGGAAAAGTCGTTATATAGGAAAATATCAGGGGTTGTAAATAACTGAAGTAAACGATATGCAATAAGATAGTTAATGATCGGTAGTGACCGACTATAATATATTTACTTGTTTTCGCGTAGTAAACTCGGGTTCCCTACATAGTTCGTAAAGAAATTATCGAGTGTAACACTGCGGCTACTGTTCGAAAATACTGCGCGCAATTCCTCAACGCCTCTCTTTATCAAATTTTGGATCGATTAGGTCCTTTGTGCCTAAAATACGCGATTACTTCCTGGCTGTTAGCATGTAAACCGCATCATGAAATGAACTGTTGTCATAAAAGAATTTAAAAGAAAACATATTTACTACCCAGATAGCTCATATAAGCTTTTCGAGAAATCTCTGATCCTAAGTATTATAAATAAGTTCAAGGGCAATCAGTTTACCCTAAATATCAGTCAATTGATTTAAATTGAACATATTCGATACTACTACATAGTTGTGAATTCCAACAAAGACGCGTTCCAATTTTAAATGTGACATATAATCACATCGAAATCTATCTAATAGTATAAGTCACCTCTTCTTTCAAAATTGTTTGCTAATGTTTAACTAAGTTTATTGTTACTTGAAAATCCTGTCCAGGATCGCTGCGATCCTATTTCGACGAATTTATTTTCATCGATCAATTAGTCCAAACAAAGCAATTGATCAAGACAAAATTGGTGGATAATAAGGGAGAGAAGAACAGAAGAATAAAATAGACCGAATCGAAGTCTACCTATATTTTTTTCTGTTGTTGCATTGCATCGAGAATTTCAATACTTTACGTCTACGTCTACAATTTTCATATTTTTTTACATCGATAATGAGTCTCTAACAAAAGTCAATATGTTTCGAGTCTTTGTGCGATAATTATAAAAGGTGGGTATAAAAGTTAATTAAGAAAGAACTCAACGGTTTACCAGCATTCAATAGGCGTAAATGAAAAAAAAAAAAAAAAGGAAAAGGAAAAGAAAAAGAAAAAGAAAACAATCTAAGAGCATTCAAATTAATCGAACAAACGCTTAGCGTCGTTTACCTTCCAACTTGACGACATACAAAAGGTAAATAGAACAAAGCATCACAACAGTATTGAAATGATGTATATGTTGTTTTTTTTTTTTTTGTTTTGTTTAATATTGAAATTTATTATTCGTTTTTTTATTTATTATGATAAACAAATAATTAAAAAGAATTTGAATGAGACATTGGTATCGGACTTGAAGCCGAAAAGCGCGGGCGCGTATAGAAAATATATTTAATTTTTTTTTTTTTTTGGTTTTTTCTATAAATAATTTCAAGAGTACAATAAGTAGACAAGACGAAACGCGACAACACTTACATATCAATTAGTGTCGTATTTAATTGAACTCCTAACTACATATATAGATGAACAATAGAAAGCTTTGATATATTTGGCAGGTAAGATAATGAATACGACCATTTAAGAGACGCGTGCATAGTAACATTTTTGCTTGCGATTTCCATACATAAAATTATTAATAATTTAACTCTTTACGTTTTCTGTGACTTAATTTTTTTAACATTTTTCTCATCTAAAGGTATGATATGTTTCGCATTGTTTTTGTGATCAAAGTAAAGTTCTATGTGCAGAGAGAGTTGTCTCCATAGATTTGGAATTTTTTTTCTCTAAAAATGAATAGAGCTATGAGCTTTGGAATATAGTCGCTGGCAAAACTCATCTATGAGATGCGGGAATTTTTAATACAAAGAAACATCGTCTTTTTATTCTACTCTTGGCAATTAACCTCCTGGCGATCTGTGAATAACGGATAATAAACAATTCATTGTTAACTAATAAATATTGAAAAGTTGGCCATAACTGGTAATCTATAAAGCATAGTGAATAATGGTCCCTACAGAGCACATAACTTATAAATTCAGAAATAAATTGCTTAGATGAAGTGTAAAACCCCTGTAATGAATGTAAAGGTATATAGGAATTCATTTATATAAATCGGTATATACACATGCGTGCATATACATAATATATATATCTGGGGAATATTACAATACCTACTGCTCTAGAGTTTGACAGTTCAAGTAAAGTGTCTACACGATTTTTAACAAGATTTTGAAATAACACGGTTCACCAATGGTAGATAATACACTATATATACTCAACCATTTTTTGAATTTTGAAATAGTACGGTTCACCAATGACAGCAAATATATTTTTGTTACGCGAATTCGTTGTACTGGCAGTGTCTCAGGCAAACGTATATATACAGCAAAAAAAATACAATTAAGGGAATACCGTGATCAGAAATCAATCGGTTTATACCCATATATGTGGGGAATTCTTCATTTGAACCAATGCCGACAGTTGTGCTTAACATATCCGACATAGCTACTGGTGATTGCAGTTTCGATTCAGTTCGAATTGTTGATAAATTAGTTTTATGAAGTGAATATTCACCGTGCAATAATTTTAATTAGTATTTTGTAATAAAAATTAATTGTTTTATAAACATGTAGTATGGATTTCATTATTGCTTTTTTTGCACGATTTTTTCAAGTTGTGAAACAAATCATCAAATTTCTCATAGCTCGTATATATCTTTTACACGATTTTTTTTTTTTTTTTTGCATAGATATTCAAGAAAAGCATCTACCGTGTAAAAAAAGAGTTAGATATGTCAGGAGATAATTACATGTCAAATTCTGTCTTGTATTCAGCTATTTGGCAAAAATGGCTGAATATAAATGCGCAAGTTACCCTTTTAGCCACGTGATTATCTCCTGCCGCCTTATTAATCGAGAGTAGACAATTGAATACTTTTTACTCAACTCAATAGATCATCTGTTCTGGATTTGATTTCTTGGCAGAAGATCGAAAACGCAATTGATTACGTTTAACGGATAGTTGATAAAATGTAATTTGCAGGACGACGTGTGTAATGGGTTAATGGGACAGACAAGACAAGAGAGCGTGCAAATTCAATTTAATAAATTCAATGCTCAGACTGATTGAAAATTAATTACGTTCAGGATAATCCGCGTAAATTGGAAATTTTCGTTAAAGAAGGAGTATCATCTCAACTCTTAGATCGATTTGACTAAATCAACTCTTAGCTGGAATTCACTTCACACTGAAGTGATAAGATGAATATTAGTTATTAGCGTTAGGTTATTTGTGTATATCTCGTACACCGCACATAGTAGTGGATATTCAAGATTCTTCTCGTCTTATAGTTTTCTTATGAAATTAACATAAGTTTTACTATTGTGTGTATCAATATAGGCAGAGAGAAACCAAAACTGTACGCATACATAAATCGCAAAGAATAAAACTTATTCTAACATATTTACATACTATTGATGGTGTTGTTGCCATTTTCATATACATTACCAACTATTATAAAAGCTTCTAACTGAATTCAACGATGATTTTATTTTAAACATTATCTGATCGGGTTGAGAAGTTTTCCAATATAATACGCAAGTTTGGCCGCACGCTTCAAAACTAATTTCAAAAATTTTAATTATAAAGCTTAAGTACTTTTTTTAATTTATAAAAAAAAAATATATATATATATATATATATATATATATATATATATATAAAATGTTTAAATACTCGTTAATATTATGTGCAATTATCGTCTTAGTTGTGCTGCCATTTCAAGACGTGAATGCCTTCAAAGTGATTGCTATACATCAAGGTTAATTATTAAGAACTGTTTACAATCAATCTATAAGAAAATTAATTAATTAATAAACAAAAAAAAAACTTTATTAATAAAAATTTAGGTCCGCCACCACCTAAACATGGCCCCGCCGCTCCTGCCGTAGACCCAAATGCTCTATTGCATGGTGTATCTTCGGCAGTGTCCGGCAAATTGCAACAAGTTCAAAGCTTAGTTGGCGGATTGGTTCAACAAAAGCAAGCTTTACTTGGAAATTTGGTGCAACAAAAGCAGGCGCTATTGGGTGGTTTATTGCAGCAGAAACGTTCGTTTGCTCAAAATGCTTTAAATTCAGTACAAAGTATGGTGCCAGCTCATAGGCCACAACCAGCTTTACCACCGCCACCATTTGTAGTCTATAAACATGTTTATTTATTACGTCCGACTCCGCCTCCTTGTAAACCCGATAAAAATGGTGATAAGGATAATGACGATGATGATGATGACGACGACGATGATGACGATACTAATAACAAGTCAACAACAGATGCAACTTTAGCTACAACTACGGATCCAAATTAAAGTTCAAGTTACATTATATTCAGCTTGCGTTGAAACTTTCAATATTCAACATAAATTTTAATTATAAACAAATGCACTGAATTGTCTAACAAAGAAAATACGTACATATATATATATAAATAAATAAAGTTCGATGAAATTATATTTAGAATTTTCCTTCAATTGATACCTTAGCAGAAAATCTCTTTTTAAGGGCTAAACAAAACAAAGCGCCTATGATCAGAGGTTGAAGGATTCTTGTAGAAGCGAAGTTTTTCGAGAAGAAGAAAACAATTATATTCGCCTTAAGACGATTGTTTGGTACTCAGCATCTCAAGTCAATAAATAAAAGCTCTAAAGTAACCCGCAACTATAGGCGAGATGGTTAACCAATCGGAAGTAGCTTTGCATTCGCACACAATTTTAAATCATAATCCATTATGGATCATCCCGCGTCACGTGCATGTTTATGGAACAATCACTCTCATTTTCACTTTAAACGATTCTTGCCTTGAACCTTGCTTATCTTGGGCGTATTTGTTTACTCATTAAGGATATCTTTTACCTTGATTGGTAGCCCTGAAATAAGAACTTGCAGAACAACATAAGGCAAACAGGCATTTATCGAGAATATTTGTACATTAAATAGCTCTTAGTGCGTGATACTAGACGTTACAGATAGAATGGCAAACCGAATTTATCTTTGGCTATGAATGGTGGATACTAAATCAGTAAGAAAATTATATTCAGTCATGACCGAACCTTTTATACCCTCCATTGATGTTCATTCATACTCTATAATATTGAATGTTGCATAGACGTTTGGGCGCTCTAGACGGAGCCTTTAACCGTTTAAGGTCACTTGCACTTTCTTTTGCAAGTTTATAGTCGATATCTTGATTTTCTCCGAAGGGAAATTTGTTAACCACAGACACTACAGACTTGAACAGCCGTACAAACGGACAGACAAACAGACTGATCTGCTTTCATGCTTCTCGAATTTGAAACTAGCCAAGAATTTCTATAGTTCATGACGTTGAACCTTGCTTCTGTATCTTATAAAGATTATAAAAAGGAAATAAAATTATGACACTCTATCAAATTGAGTAGGCGTGGCCGAATTTCAAATGTCTGTAAATTTATATGCTGTCATTTATGAGTGATGAGCGAAAACTCATTTCTTCAAATGGAATTGCAAAGCGGAGATGTTCACAGTTTACGGTGTACTATACACGTGTCCTTCAACTGATTTGGCTCACTTTCAATACCAATCTGCGTGCAAGAGCTTCCAATGTTTCTATCAAATTTGAAGTCGATAGCCTAATATTTGGGGCGAGGAGGATATTTATAACAGACATTACAAAGACGGACAGGTGGACAGACGGACAGACGGACATGCTCAAATCGATTTAGAATTAGATGCTGAACGATAATATAGATAATTTGCGGGGTCCCTGAAGCATACTTCTGGGCGTTGCAAACGTTCAGACAAAATGACTATACGCCCTCATCTTTCGGTGTTGGATATAAAAATCGAATAAATAACGACCTATTGTTGAGATAGTGTTTCATTGTTCCAATGCAAACTTTGTTTTTGATTTGCTTCCACTTTCAGTTTTCCTATTTGCATTGAATTTTTCTTTACCCCAACTCATTACATTACCCGTTTCAATATCAAAGCGTTTTGCCCTTTTCTTCTCAGCTTATAATTTCAAAGACAACTCACTTTTCCAAATACTATCAAGATCAAGATTTTCTTGAAAACAATAAAAAAAAACCGAACTAAAGCTTCGTCTACTCAACTAAACATCATTCTTGTGAAAATCTTGAGCAAATCAAAACGCACAGACTTTCTGTATCGCAAGTCATCAAAAAGCAAAAACCAACGCATCGTATATCTCTTACTTACTTTATCAAAATAACCTATCCGATTACATTTGTTTCTCATATCGTTTGCATGAAAGGTTTTTTTTTTTTTTTTGTTCAGTTTCAATATTATTGCACAAGTAACTCGAAATCCAATACCATGCCTAAATTAGAATTTGTCTCTTGAGATGAATTTCGCTTATCCTTTATCAGTTATATGCTTCTTTCTGTTTGAATAAATTACAACACTCAACCACGTATTGTGCATCGTTAAAATTGTTGTTACAACGCAATCATTACATTGCAACATTGCCTACCTATGTGCGTGCAACACAAACAAATTATTGCCAATCGTTTGAAAATCAACTTTGAAATCATATAACAATTATAGCTTGCTCGTCTTTTCCAGCACAAAACGTTCCATAATATCAGCATTTTTTAGTGGCGAACAAATAATAATTACAATCAATCAACGGTCGCAGCTGACTTTGTATTATTCTTACATTGCAAGTCGCACATACAATATGTAGACATCGATGCGTATTATATGCAAAGGCCGTTCGTTAATAAAAAAAAAAAAAAAAGAAAAAAAAGAAAAATTGTTTTCGCGGAATAGGTTTAATTACGAACATGTGGAACCTTTTAGTGACGAGAGAAATCCAACATATTGCGTTCTAATTATGCTTGTTCTTGTTCTCTACCAAAGAGGCCAATCACTTTGAAATTATCGTAACATTGTAAATAGATCTCGTATTGTAGTGTTTTTAAATTTGTTCAATATTTTGATATTTGGTGTTTGCAAATGTTTGCACATATTTTGCGCAGCGACATCTACCGATGAACATGATAAAGTAATGCAAAGTAACAATACACGTATTGGTTAACTGTTAACGGTGCTTTAGACCTTTTTCGAAATAAGATAACCGTTTTCCCTTTAGTATTATTGTGTTATTCAGTGTATGCAGACCGTAAGCATCGATCGCTCAAAACAGCACTCATCCTCGTGCACTGTTGCAATTCGATTGAAAAGCTGCATCGCATTCAGCGTCCTCATCAAACAATCCATCTTCTGACTGCCACTTATTTAGTTCGATGCAGTACACCATGGCTGTCACGCGGTTTCGCGATACTGAGAAAGCGTGAAAATGAGTCGATGAATGACTGATCGCTGATACAAAACAAATATACTTCTTCCGACACGGTCGAAAAAGAAAATAAATGGAGAATATTTTGATTAACATAAATTGCACGAATTTTTTTTCAATAAATGCCTTATTCAAAGTGATCAACACGATCAAAATATATGCAAGCACCTAATAAAGAAATTATGATCGAAATTATATTCGTCTTATTGAGAATTATCGAAAATAGTTATAAATATTAAATTTAATTTTATTTAAATTAAATCTTGGTAACTATTACTGATTGTTCTCTCTCTAGGTTTTTTTTTTTTTTTTTTTTTTTATTTGTATTATTAATTTTAGTTAGAGCAATAAATTCCAAGACTAAAGCTTAAAGGCTATCGGCTATCAGCTATCGGCTATCACCTATCGACTATCGGCTATCGGCTATCGAATTTAAAAATCTATATACATATATATATATATATATATCCATATGTATATATTAAAATATGTATTGAAAATAAATACAAAGTAAGCGTAAAGATATGCAAACACAGTGTTAAGGTTGCGTAGATATCAGCTTTTATAAACAAGTCATAAAAGTTATTAAGCGGTAAAGCATAAATAATATGATATTCTCTTTTATTTTGGAAGATTTTTATATATATATATATTTTTTTTTTTTGTTATACTTATGCATAATGTTGTATAATATTTATAGTGTATAAATTCCTTGATAAATAAAAGCCAAGTATGTGTAAAGGTGTGAATCAAATTATATTTGATTTTATAAAATTTTATGAACTCCTCCTCTACTCTAGGTTTCACTTCAAGGCATTTAAATCACTTAAATAAAATTTGTGGTCATGCTTGAATTAAATTTCATTTCTCTTTAGTAAAATTGTGTCTATATTGTCTTCAGAAACGCAGTCTCTTGTTTATGTATACATATAGGTGTATATATATGCATATATATATATATATATGCATATGTGTTTAAATTTGATGGCTATTGTACATTATTTTACATAAGATTTATGTATGACATGAAAAGGTTTTAGACTAGAAATGATATACAAACTAAATTTAATTTTCTGGTCGATATATTTTAATATTATATAAAGGAAGAGAATGCAAGCAAGAATTTTAGTTTGAAAACGAAATATTCGACACCCTAACTAGGGTGATGATATTTGTATACAGAAGAAAAACAAGAATTCTGCAAAGTTATCAATAAAAAATATATATATAAATGTTTTGTCGAACTTCCGATTTCTATCATAAGTTTATTAGATATTCAGACCTTCGTGACACATTACGGAAAAGTGAAAGATTTAAAGTCTCATAATGAAGATGCTTCTAATGTTATATTTCCGTGTATTAGAATCTATTCGATAAAATTAATGAAAATCTCTACTTTTTATATTCGAGCTTAGAATCGACACTTGAAGGGGAAACTTTCGAACAGGTATCTCATGGCCGTACGGAGATTAACGATAACCTGAACATTCACTAATCAATTGTTGCGAAACATTTCCTCGATTTAGATATAAAAGCAATAATCATTGCTATATGTCGATCAAAAGCGATTAAACGTATAGTAACGATCGCCCAAGTAGAGTCCAAAGTATCTACGACATCGAAACACTGCACATAGTCTGCAATAGTTGCAGACGCTCACTTTCGCTTACCGTGTTCTTTTTTGTAAATAAGTGAGAAGCATCGCAGTTACTTGTTGAAAATGTTGCGATAAATTCCAACTTGTACGTAATATGCGTTTGCAACATCGACACCTACAACGCCGACATTCGCGACAATTTCATTATAAAATTCCAAATAGTCACAGTAAATAAATGTCCTCAGAGCCTTCTGCTGATTAAAAACGAAATTCTAGGAAAATTTCGTACCGCAGGCTATGTTTACAACATTAAACTCCGAGACCGCGTCTCATCTCTCTCACTACGTAAAATTTAAATCATTCGATCTCGATCCTCTAGTCTTTAATCGAACTGCTACAGTTTCCAAAATCGAATAGAAATGCTTTCCTCTTTCTTTTACTATCCTCGCAGCTTAATAATGGAATGAATGCATTATTACCGAGTCTGAAATGCTTCGATAATTCTTCGTATATACGTTCAGAAGAAAATTAAGTAAATTCATGATGAATATTTTG